GAGGCCGCGCGGGGCGGGGCGGGCCGGGGGCACGACATACCTCCGCTTCTTTTCCAGGTGAGCCTTCGCTTCCATGACCTCCTTCGCCTCTTCCGCGCGGCCGCCACATCCGGATCCTCCTCCTCGCTCGTCACCCGGGAACCGGAAGCGGACCCGGGCTTCGCGGCCCAAAAGCACGCCGACGTGTCGAAAAGTTGAAGGGAGAACTGACGAGGTCATCAAATCCTCTCAATTCACATTGAATGAAATCAAGTCTTGCGTTGCACAAAAGGTGTTTTGATCTTGATGTGCTGGAATGTTCGTCCTCGCCAATAAAGTTTGAAACGCCCAATCATATCTAAGGACAACTGCCTGCCTTTGGGACGCGGGAGGAAACGGGAGTACCCGGAGAAAAGCCACGCAGGCACGGGGGGAGGACGAGCAAACTCCTTTCCATCTTTGTGTGTTCACTGGCAGAACTTCCTGTTTAGATTTTGAGTAAAATGTCCCTTCTTTTTACGTTTTATTCATGCCAATGTAATTTTTAAATATTTGTTTACGATATGACCCAATATTTATTCACAACACGTCTTTGCAAACAAATGTAAAAGTTTGTATTTGTTTTATTTTATTTCTCGAATCCAATCAGCGCGGTGGTGGGAGGGACTAAGTTGCCATGACAATGACGTCAGTGTTGGTGTCGAGTAACTATAAGGTCAAAATAAAGGCAAGTGAATGGAAGATGGTAGAGAGAGAGAGAGTGTGTGTGTTTGGTGGAGGGGGGGGGGGGGAAAACAACAGGTTGCCCTGAAGTGTACGTGACGTATCCCGAATGACTTTCAAAAATAACACCAGTCTCGGATAGACGTCGAGTCGGCGGAGTGAGGCTTCTTCCTCAGGCCGGTAAGGAGACGTCGGACAGCAGAATGTTGGGGTCACGGAGAAGCTAGCCGAAGCTCGCTATTTAGCCTAGCACAAGCTAACAGTTCGATTATGTAGCTTTAACCGGTCTTTTGCGGCAATAAAGTTACTTTGGACCGTTGGCCCGCTGCAAGGGGAGTCTTTCCGCGCGATGACGCCTTTAAACGGCGACTGGGCGTGCGTTGAAGTCATCTTTTTGGCCTGTTTGGGTTCTGCCTTTGACACTCGCTTTTTGGCCTTTGAACAAGTGTGACCCAGCTGTGTCCGTTTGGTGACATCACGGCACGGTCCTTTCCTCCTACGTCGCAAAATACTCGCCTTATGGCGTGCGAGAAATTTGTTTTCACGTACGTAAACACGCAAAGGTCACGCAGTCGCGGCTGCCAAGGTGACAGGCAAGCGCTTGCAGCGACGCCCGTGACGTCACACTAACTCGTTATTGAAAAAAAAGTCCAATCGTCATGAACATTAATGTTGGTAAATTTCATAAGGATCATGTGAAATCACAAGCTTTCATATATATATATTATATAAACTTTATTCTTGTAATTTTACAACTTTTCCCCGTAATTACACCGAGCTTATTAACTTAATCTATATACATATTTTTCCACATTGCCACTTTTTTTGGGTAAATTGTATTTATTCTTGTAACATTCTGACTCTGCTGTTATAGGACGAATGTAACTTTCAGTGTCCCCCCCCCCCCCC